CGCCGCCCCCGCCGCCGCCGCCGCCGCCCCCCGTGCCCTGCGCTCCCCCGCTGCACCGGGGGCTGCTGCACCGCAGGAGCGAGTCCAACCACATGAGCGTCAAGAGACTGCGCTGGGAGCAGGTGGAGAACTCGGAGGGCACCATCTGGGGGCAGGTATGACCCGGGAGCAGGGGGAAGGATGAGGGTCCAGCCACGCTCTGGGGAGCGGTGAGCTGTGCCGAGGCTCTGCAGAGYTTCCTTTCATCCTTTCCGTTGTTTGGACCAAGCTGCAGGGTAGGGAGAGGGCCCGGGAAGCCTCTGAGGAGCTGGGTTTGGCTCTGATGTCCTGGGGAACGTTTCTCTGCCCTGAGGTGTGACACAGCCGGCAGCTGCCTCCAGATGTGTTCTGCAGCTGTGGGGGTTTTTGGGTGTGAAAGGATGAGGATGGTTGGAGCAGGGTGATGGGACAGCCCCGGGCAGGGCAGGACACTGCAGGGGGACAGCAGAGGTGAGGGCTGAGACAAGACACGATAATCCTTTGGCATCGTGGATGTGAAATGGTACAGAACCTTTCCCGGGGTGTAATTCTCATGCTCTGTGACTCTCCCGATGTTCAGGACATATCGTATTCCCTGAGCAGCCAGAGGGGAGCTGTGGGATCATCTTCCAGTCCCACGGGCACTTGAAATCCTGCAGGTCCCTCTCCCCAGCACTCTGGGAAGGAAGATACCTCCTCACAGTGATATTTTGTGTGCAAAAAAAAAGAAAAAAAATTCCCGAGGCTCCTGCAATTCCCATTTTATCCTTCAGTAAAGGAATYATGTCCAAGGAGCATGTGAAGACAGAGATGCTCTGTAGGATTTCAGCTATGTCAGGAGCTGAGTGAATCTGCAGGGCAGATTCCAGACACAGAWCAGTGCCACCAGCCTGTCCTGGTTTCTTCTGGGGACACGAGCTTAGTGTGGGGGACAGGGAATGTGCCAGCACAGGTGGCACTGTCCCACCCCTGGTCCCTCCTGCCCCTACAGCTCGGGGAGGACTCGGATTACGACAAGCTGAGTGATATGGTCAAATACCTCGACCTGGAGCTGCACTTCGGGACTCAGAAGCCCACGAGTAAGTACTGAGCCCCAAAATGGTCCTGGGACCAGCAGAGACTGGGAGGGACTGGGAGGAACTGGGAGGAACTGGGGCTTGATGGGCAGCAAGGCAGTGCCTGTCTGTAACATCACTCGTGGCATGAATTTGTCCATCCTCAGGATTCTGTGGCTGCTGGCACAGCGGATCATTAAGGGGGAGATGGTTTCATTATCTCCCTTGATCATCTCTGCTGCCATGATCTGTTTTCTCTGCACTTTTCACTGGGTGCTGAAACCCAGCTGGGGGCTTTCACCAATTGCAGCTCCAGTGCATGAGAACTCTGGAAATGCTGAAAAAGCCATAAAAACATTCCTGTGTCCAAGAAGTCATCACAAGCAGCACTTTATTTTATATAAATGATCAGTGGATTGCCCCAAGAGCTGTGATGGGGTCTGGAGCTCCCTGCCCGTGCAGCCCCCATCACTCTTGCACTGGGCTCTCCCACCCACCGGGGATTTTGGGTGCCACAAMCCCCGAGCAGGGTCCAGGCTGGGGGTGCAGAGTGCTGTGATCCTGCTGGGAGGCATTCCTGTAAAAACAGTGGGATGTCTGAACCCTCCTGCGGGGATCATGGTGCCCAGCTGGCAGTGGAAGTTGGATGAAATGGGACTCATCTCAGGGGACACTGTTTTTGGGATGTTTCTGAGCAGTCTGGGATTTTCYGTGTGTTTCACCTCTTGTTTTACCTTTTTCAGCTGCAACTGAGTCCTCCATTGGGGAGATCTTTGAATTRCAGAATTCAAGGATTCCTGGAGCCATTGCTGTGTGCAAAGCATCCGTTCTCCTCTCTKTCATTCATGGTTTCACTGTTTGCAGGACAGTTTTCTTCCCGCTGGAGCCGCCTGAGCCCATCCTTACCCGTGATTAAATCTTTCAGTTTCTCTTCCAGAGCCAACTCTCATGCCTGAAAACTTTAAAAAGAAAGACGTGGTTGAAATTTTGTCCCACAAAAAGGCCTACAACACATGTAAGTGAAGCTCACGGTGAAGGYACCCCCAAAAGGGGCCCGCAGGTGGGATGTAGAGAACTGGAAAGGTAAAGGGAAGGAACACGAGCACAATCCCATGGGCAYGATCCCATGAAGCTGGGACAGACTTTTCCTGCAGCTCAGAGCTCCCCCAGCCCGGGTTCAACCCGAGGGAGGGAGAAGGAGGTGACTTTCTGGGAAAGGATGGATGGAGATGGCATGTTCCTGTTGTCCTGGGGTGAAGTGGGGCACTGGAGGGGCAGTGCTGCTCCTCCATGATGTGCCCGTGGTAGGAGGGAGGGTGGGAGAGCTCGGTGGGACCCTGTGGGGTGGGGATGTGGGATGGGGGCGGGTTCCCAGTGCAGCCCACCAGGGTAAGGTGCACGATGTGGCAGTGCCCTGGGGGGCTGCAGGACCAGAGCCACTCGTGGGGTCCCCAACAGCCTCCGCAGGGTGTGGGTGGGGAGCCCTTCCTGCCCCGGGGCTKTGCCTGCCTGGGCACCTGGAGAAGCCYACGCCACTCTYRCCGTGYRGAGGTTGATGTCCCCRTCCTGTCCCCATCCTACCGGGCAGYCTGTCCCAGCACTGCCACACCCCCGGGGTCCCCTCCTTCCACCCCGAGTGACAGTGATATCCCTCCCTGCCCCCAGCCATCCTGATCGCCCACCTGAAGCTGTCGCACATCGAGCTGCGGCAGATCCTGATGACGATGGAGACGGATCGCCTGGAGCCGTCCCACATCAAGCAGCTGCTGCTCTACGCCCCGGACGGGGAGGAGGTGCAGCGCTTCCAGAGCTACAAGGAGAACCCCGGCAAGCTGAGCGAGCCCGACCAGTTCGTGCTGCAGGTACCGGGCAGGGG